GTAGGTGTGAAGTGCTGTCTCATGGTTTTATTTTCATTTCCTTAAAAAACTTTTGATGTTGCATCTTCTCGTGTGCCTATTGGCCATTTGTCTGCTTTTTTCTAATCTGTTTTAAAACTTAGATTGTCTTTTTTTACTGCTGCTGAGCTCTCTAGAGTCCTTTCTATTTTGGCTGCTGATCCTTATTAGATTCACACTTGGTAAATATTTTCTCCCATTATGTGGGGGTTTTTTAACTTCTTTGATAGTGTTATTTTGCACAAAATTTTGAATTTTAATGAAGTCCAATTTATCTCTTTTCATATACAGCCTTAGGTGTCACAAATATGACACCATTGCTCATAATCCAAAGATGTGAAGGACTTTGTTTTCTTTTAAGAGTTTTATCATTTTAGCCTTACATTCTTGGGTTTCTTTCGCTCCATTTTGAGTTAACGCTTTGTATAAGATGGAAGTACAGGTCCCGGATTCAATTCCTTTTTGCATGTGGTTACCCAATTGTCTGAGCTTTAATTATTGAAGGCTACTTCCTTTTCCCTTTGAATTACCTCGCACCCTTAAAAAAAAAACTCAATTAACGAGATGTATGGGCTCATTTCTGAATTCCCAGTTCTGTTCTGTTGATAGATATGTTCATCCTTATGCTAGCACCACAGTCTTTTTTTTCTTTTTAATGTTTATTATTTTGAGAGAGAGAAAGAGAGAGATGACGCAGCAGGAGGGGCAGAGATGTGAGAGAGACACATAGTCTCTGAAGCTCAGGCTCTGAGCCACAAGCACAGAGCTCTACACAGGGCTTCACGGGATCAGGATCTTATCTGAGCCAAAAGTCAGACGCTTAACTGACTGAGCTGCTCCAGGCTCTGCTAGTACTCACTCTGTCTCATTACTATAGCTTTGTGAAAGTGAGCTTGTAAGAGGGAGGTGTGAGTCCCTCAAACTTGTTCTTATTTTTCTAAATTGTTTTGGCTATTTTGGTTCCCCATTTCTATATGAATTGAAGATGAGTCTTTTCAACTTGTTAATTTCTGCCCAAAAAAGAAGTTGAAATTCTTTGATTTTCATGCTGCACTTGTAGATTTATTTTGGGGAGGATCACATCTTAACAACATTATGTCTTCTAATCCCCAAAGTGTGTCTTTTCCACTGGTTTGGGTCTTTTAAAAATTTCTTTGAATGATGTTTTGTAGTTTTCAGCAAACAAATTTATAATTTCTTTTCTATTAAATGGTTCCTAGGTATTTTGTCTTTTGGATGCTCTTGTAAATGGAGTTGTTTTCTTAATTCTTGATTGTCTATTGCTAGTATATAGAAATACAACTTACTTCTTATGTATTTATCTTGAAACTTGAACCAAGTGCTGAACTTCTTTTATGAGCTCTAATATTTTGTTCTTGTTTTATTTGTGTCTGTACTTTTAGAGTTTAACTGTATACAAGACCATTTCATCTGAAAACAGAAATTGTTTTACTTGCTTACTTTGTCTTACCTAGAAATATCCAGTACAATATGGAATAGAAGCGGGTGAGAGGGACATCCTTGTTTGTTCCTGCTCTTTGGGAGGAAGCCATTCTATTACAATGATGTTAGCTGTGGTTTTTTTCTATAGATGCTCTTTATCAGGTTAAGGAAGTTCCCTTTCATTTCTAGTTTATTGGTGTTTTTATTATGAAAGAGCATTGGGGGGCAGTGACTCCAGCTAAACATCTGACTTCAACCCAGTCGTGGTCTCGCTGTCTGTGGGTGCAAGCCCCAGTCAAGCTCCTGTGCTGACAGCTCAGGAGCCTGGAGCCTGCTTCTGATTCTGTGTCTCCCTCTCTCTAGCTCCTCCTTGCACTCTGTTCTTTCAAAAATAGCAAACATTAAAAAAAAATGAAAGATGTTGGATTTTGTTTATGTTTTTTTTCTGTGTCTGTTACGATCATGCAGTTATTGTCTTTATCTTATTAACATGTTGCATTACATTGATTTTTCACACGCTAAACCTGCCTTTTTGTATTTCTCTGGGATAAATCCCACTTGATCACATGCAGGGTGTATAATACTTTTTTTAATGTTTATTTATTTATTTGAGAGAATGTATGAGCACAAGTCAGGAGGGGCAGGAGAGAATCCCAAGCAGGCTCTGCACTTGTCAGCTCAGGAGTCCTGGGCCCAGTCTCACAAACCATGAGATCATGACCTGAGCTGAGACTGAAGCCAGATACTGAACCAACTGAGCTATCCAGGTACCCCTGTAATCCTTGCTTATATGCAGGATCAGTTACAGGGTATTTTGTTGAGGCTTTTATCATCTATATTCACAAGGATATTAGTCTTGCCTATTTTTTTTTTCTTATGTAATCTTTGTTCAATTTTGTACTACAATACTGGCCTTACAGAACAGAGGAAGTGTGTTTATCTTCTCTGTTTTTTGGAAGAGTTTGCATGATATTAATTCTTTAAACATTTGTGGAATTCATCAGTGAAGCCATCTGTCCTGGGCTTTTCTTTTGTGGGGGATCATTTAATGCAAGGTAGAAGAGCATTTATAGTACTGTCCTAATCCAAGAGAGAGAGAGAGTCTTTTAAGGCTGTATCTGTGTGTTTGTATTTACACAGAAAAAAGTTCTGAAAAGACATAATAAAAAAAGATATATAAGCAGCAAAGCCATTCTTAAGAATGATAGGAACTTAAGTCTTGTGCCTTGTATGTAATTTACAAGCACTGCTCTATGGTTTTTTTAAAAGCTCACTTTAATATGGCCAACATTGACCATCTGCCCTTTCATCCTAGTAAGTTGGTATGTGTGCTTGCCTCGGCCTGTCTCCTTAGGAACTCAGTCTGGTGGGGCCCCCTGAAGTCAGCACTTGCTGCACCTCTTCTGTTTATCCTCCTCCTGCGAACACCACTTGTCAGTTCCCCCAAAACAGCCCAAGGGTTGTGTGCTACTATGAGATACATACTGCGTGTTGTTCCCCTTTCCTGCTTCAACCTTTTCGCTTCCTTTATCTGCCAGCTCCTTCCCTGTTATCCTTAAAACCCCTTCCAGGAGCCCTGGCTTCCAGGCCAGTTAAGCATCTGACTCTTGGCTGCCAGCTCAGGTCATTCCAGTTCCGAGATCGAGCCCACATCACCAGTGCTGAGTATGGAGCCTGCTTGGATTCTCCCTCCTTTTTTCTTCTGCCCTCCCCCTGCTTTGTGACTTCCTCTGTCCTTAAATTAGCAAAATGAACTTAAAAGGGGCGCCTATGGCGTAGGCCTGTTGTTAGTCCGGACTTCAGCCAGGTCACGCATCTGCTGGTCTGGAGTTCGAGCCCCTGGCTCTCACATGGCCTGAGTCTGAGCCTGTTTCCTGCCTGTGTCTCCTCTGCCCCTCCCCTGCTCATGGTCTCTCTCTGTCCCAAAAAATAAATAAACGCTGAAAGAACTTTTCCAACATTTGTTACTCTTCCTTTTGTGGACCACCTCCAGCTTCACTCTCCTCCCTTTCATTCCCTAATTCAAGGGAGAGAAACTCCCTCTCCCTCCTGTTGGCCTCACATTGTTACATGTATTTTTTGTTGCTTGAACTTTGTGTTTGTCTCCGCATCATAATTACTAGCTCACATGTGTCTTCTCTAAAGTACAACTTATACAGTTTCACACAAGCCAGATGCTCAAAAGTATTTTGATTGAATTGAATTCGAGTGACTAGAAAAGACCCTACTGACAAGAACGTGAGCAGAGGCCAACATTTTGAAAGTTATTGTAACTTGTACTCATTTTGCCAGACAGGAAGATTTGTAGGAAAATATGGTTGAATGAATTTGATAAGGGTGATAATAGAGGCTCCTTCAAAGGCTGGGCAGATGGAATTTGACACCTGGCAGTCAGTTGTACTGTCCCACTACTAAGTAGATAACTGTGTCTGTGAGTCCAGCTCATGGCTGGCCTCAGTGCTGGATTGGGGCCTGTATTCTGGAGCCTGTTTCAGATTCTGTGTCTCCCTTTCTCTGCCCCTCCCCTGCTCATGCTGTCTCGGGTCTCCCAAAATGAATAAATGCTATGGCTTCAAGTGGCGAAATGGGTTGCTGGCCCTGACTTCCAGCCAGGTCACATCTCGGGTTCTGTGAGTTCGAGCCCCGCCAGGGTTTCATTGATGGGCCTGGAGCCTGAGCCTGCTCTGCATCTCTGTGTCTCCCCTCTCTCTGCCCTCCCCGTCTCATGCTCTGTCTCTCTGTCCCAAAATAAATAAAAACGCAAAACGTTGAAAAAAAAATTAAAAAAAAAAAAATGAATAAACATTAAAAAATAAAAATAAAAAAGGCAGATAGAGCAGACTTGGTAGGTATATATTGGTGGAATGAAGAACTCTTCTCACTTAACTTCAAGTCTTTGCTTACATCTTTTTTCTCAGTAGGCGTACCCTGACCATGTCCTTTCAAACTGTCACCTCTGTGTTCCCTCGTCCCCTGACCCCAGCACTCCCCTTTCTTCATCTTCCTCCTTCTTCCATAGCACTTGCACTTGTATATAATTTACTTGTTCATTGTGTTTATTTGTAGTCTGTCTTCCCCATTGGAATATAAGCTCCCCACACCATGGTAGCCTTGTTCCCTGCTGTTTCCCAAGCCCCTAGATCGTTGCCTGGAACGTAGTAGGGACTTAGGAAACATTCGTGGAGTAAATAAATCCTATATTAATGAACTTCAGCACCTTGTCCAGAGCTGGCCGAGATACGGCCCCGGTACAGTTCAAATGGCTTATTTCTGAAAGAAGGAAAGTAGTTTACAGAAATGTATGAAACTGCTAAGACAGTGCCCACTGTGTATTATGTACATAATCTGGGGCAAGGCAGGGGAGGGAGGTGAAGGTAAGAGAGACGTGGAGCTTTAGGGTTTCTTGCCTTAGAAACCAAATTGGGAAGTCAAAAGTATAAGTATATTTGAGTTTATTTATTTCTTGCCTAGAAAAAATGTTGTTTCATGTGGTGACTAATTCCCATGCTTTAATAATTTCTCTTTTTCTTTCTCCACAGACCTTTGTAGTATTAAACAGAGGGAAAACTCTCTTCAGATTCAGTGCCACGCCTGCCTTGTACATTTTAAGTCCTTTTAACCTGATAAGAAGAATAGCTATTAAAATTTTGATACATTCATATCCTTTTCACAAATGTGGAGTGCAGAAGTTGCATGCTCACTGCTACACGTTTCTGAACTTTGACAGTCGAATTGTATATTAAGTATTTTATCAATAGTGTACTTGACTATCCCACCAGTCAGAAGTGTGAGTGAACTTCTTCCGGATCCTGAGCTGAGCTTCAGCAAATTCTTTTTTCCTAGGATGATATCATGGGAGTCTGGAATTTTGTTGGTATCGTGAAGAGAGACAAATTAAGATGATAACCTGTAACTTTTTAAAGCGCTCAGGCCTCAGTAATTTTATCCTGAGCATGATTCAGTTCTTTAGCGTAAGTCCGATATTAGAATTTTTTGGAAGGCTGCTTTGTTGAGCGCAAATAGTTGAATGAATGCTTTAGAGATCGGCCTTGTATATTTCTGATCTCTTGAGCAGTGGGTATGGAAAGTGTCTGAGATAGTCTCAGATTAAATGGCCTCTTCGGTACAGAGGTTTAGATCTAGATTGTAAGACTGATATGCATCTTTCTGGTATTTTTACTGCCCTTAAATAGAAAATGCCAATTTACTCATGTGGCCTGCCTTTTTTTTTATCTTATTAATATAGGAGAGCATATGACAGATAAAAAATTATGTGATGGGTTTAGCTACTTTGCATAACTTTAAAATTTTATGGTTGGTGTTGAATCTGTCAGTGCTTAGTCCTGTGCTTCCAAGGATAGTGTATCCTCCAGGTAAGATGAGGAAGCAGCAGTTGCAACTTGGGCAGATTGGTTTGCTAATAAGCTTTTGCCACATTTTATTAACTCTAAGAATTTAGTAGCTTGATTCTGAAATCAGTGGTTTACAAGTAACGTAGTTCTGAAATCTAAAGGTTTATAAGGAATAAATAATTCACAATGGACTTCTTCCCTTTTTGCTGGTTCAGAAGACAATGTCTTCTGTTATGATTCCCGGAAGAAAAACCCAGCCGTAAGAAGTATTTTTTGTTTTTGAAACTCCATTAATAGAATGAAGATGGTGAATGCCATTAGCAAGAGAGAGTGAGTTAGCAACAAATGAGATATGGCTTCTCTGCTGGGTAAAGTGACAGTTTGAGTTTGAATAATTCCCATGCTGACCTAAAGGAGTTTATTTTTTTCTCAGTAGACAAGAACAGAAAGGGCTGAGAAAAATCTTGGGTAGACTGAAAAGACATCAAAGTGGTTTGTTATCCATAAGCATTCCTGGGCACTTTCAAAATGATCAGATGAATTTACCCCATTATCTAATTTTTAGGGGTACAGCAGTACAGATGTCCTTGAAATCCTTGCCCAACAGGCCATAACTGGTTTCCCAAATTGTGCAAATGCCACACATAGTGGCTGTAGCATTGCCCTCCAAGGACAACTCAGCCCTTTGGAGAACTAGGGAGAAAAGTGAACTGTTACGTTCTAAACCCAAGCTAACGTAACATTGTATATATTGACTATACTTCAATTAAAATTAAAAGTAAACCATTAATTGCATGTAGATTTTCAAGTAAGTAGTTGCATAAGGTAAATTAATAAATGAGTACTGAATAATACAGGTTCGATTCAATTTACTTTGTCACCTGATGACTTTGGCATCCAGTAGACGGGTAGATTTCAGGTTACTGTGTATAAAGGTATTTGGAGGCTTATTCCATAGCTGAGGCTAAAGTGGCAAGAGGGGGGAATGTTTTATCCAAAAGGGGTAGAGCAGTGACAGGCTTTTTGAAAGTGGCCTTCCTGCTGTGTCCACCCACAGTTCTCTGGTCAGGTGTAGATACATATGGTGGCATTCTCCTTTCAGGTTACCGATTTAATTCTCATGATACCCAGTGTGAAACGTGTTTGCTTTCTGAGGAAGAAAACAGGCCAGATTTTGTACATTCTCCCTTGACTCTTTTCTACAGTATTTAGCATGATCATTATGTGCACTATTTTGACCAACTGTGTATTCATGACTTTTAGTAACCCTCCTGAATGGTCGAAGAATGTAGAGTAAGTAGCTCATTTATTAATTTGTCTGCCTGCTTGTTTCAAGGATTTCTACTCACCGAATCTTGCTTTGCACGGTTTAAACGTCAAGGGAAAAAAATTGTTGTTGCTGTTTTTTTTTTTCTCCCCCCAGTCTTTACTTCACAGAGAGGGGGGAGGCTTCATGTGGAATTTAGGAACTACCCTTAGAGGCAAACTCTAGAAAGAGAAAGAAGAGAAAGTGTGCTCTGGAAGTTACTGCCCTTCACCTCCACCCCCTGCTGTGCTGGCCAGAGCCTTTGACCTGCTGCCCCAGTGCCATCTTGTGCCCTCAGTTAGTCCCTCGTGGCACTGTCTTCTTCTCCAACATGAGGTCTCCTTTTTTTTTTTTTTTTTTTTTTGACTTGTCTAAAGTTAAAAATAGCTCTGGGGCCTCCTCACCTGGTTCAAAATTATCACCTACTAGATGGTACCCACAACATTCCAAAATTCTTGGTTTTGTGTTTCGGTAAGTTTCCTTCAAACTTACTTCCTTCAAATTTCCCCTTCCTGCCATTCTTTCTGCTGCACTGGCCGTGCCCGTTCTGTTTTGTCTCTGTCAGTCGAAGCTGCACTTCAGGCACCGTTACCTTAAAAGATTCATTCAAAGTTTCTGTCTGTTCAGAACTTACCTCGAGCTATCCGTTTCTTTGACAGGTACACATTCACAGGGATTTATACATTTGAATCACTAGTGAAAATCATTGCAAGAGGTTTCTGCATAGATGGCTTTACCTTTTTACGGGATCCGTGGAACTGGTTAGATTTCAGCGTCATCATGATGGCGTAAGTTGTCTGCCTACTTTATTGACTGACATTCAGGGTGTGATTACGTCTATGTGGTTGTATGCGTGGTTGTGTTGGTTAAGGGCACGTTTGTGGCCAGCTACAAGCAGAGTTAATGGGTAACCATGCAAGGCCACACAGGCTTATGCCTGGGATTCTTGCTTGTGAAGGCTGGGCAGTCTAGGCAGTGGCAGCATGTCTATATGGAAGAAGGTAAGCCAAGGCTTCACAGCGAAGAAAGGAAGTAGGAAGTGATTTTTCCATTGACATGCTCTCATATTTTCTTCCCCCTTATAACACTGACCAAGGTTTGCACGCTGATCACTATGGGGCCTTAGTGAAGACTTGAAATGTTTTAGGTGTAAACCTTAATTAAGCTGAAAATCCATTTCCTGGGTATGTTATATCGCATGTAATTTCGTGAGGCTGACCCAGATGTTGGAGACTTCAGAGCACATTTTAGAGTTAAAACATGAGCCAAGGTATCCAAACTGGTCACTTCCTAAGGAAGTACTGACCAGAACTTCAAACTATTGCAAGATAATAGTATAATTCCCCATTAGTATGCTAGCTGCTCTTGGTAACTGCTCTTGTTCACTGTTGTTTTAACAATGAACACGTATCTCTTTGGGAAACTTAGCTGATGATAGAAGAGTTATAACAGACTTTATTATTTTTATCTTCAGATTGGGAAAGCACTCTCTGGTAGAGTAGGGTATAATAAGGGTGTTGTATAGGCTGTGTGTGTGTGTATGCAAATGTGTGAAAGGTTGAGTGTGTTTGTATATATACGGGCCTGAGCATCAGAAAGATGTATTTCACCTGGAAAATGTGAATGAATGAATGAATGAATGAATGAATGAATGGTATGCATTGAATATTTGAAACTGGAACTTTGACTTTCTGTTATTTTAAGGCAACTTCTAGCTTTCCAACATTATGAGTACACCTTGGTGTTCATTTAAAATTTAAGTGTCTTTTGCTAGGCACAGAGCTGGTGACAAAACGGGCACTTAACACACTCTTTGCTTTGATCCCATGATCCTGAGCCCTGCTTTTGTATGTCACAGGCTATAACTTCATCTGTAGGCATGACTGCAAAGATAATGCGTACAACTCTTGGATAAGTCATATATATAGACAGGCACTTTTGCCGTTGTCATCGAGGGAGTTATTTGAATGTAAATTTGTTTTTATGGGGATTCTGCTGCAGAAATTTGTCTCCTTTTTCTAAGAAATTGTTCGCAAAGCTTGGGGACATAAGCCTTTGATACCTCCTGGCCTTCCTTTTTGCTAAACATAATGAGTGGACTGAGAGTAGTCATTCTGATTGGGATCTACACAGCCCGATGCTGATTAAGAGAGTAAGCCCCCAGGAACCTCCCGGTTGTATCGGTTCCTTCAAATATTCTTTTGAATTCTCCTTGCCAACTGGAAAAAAAAAAAATGTGTTCTTTAAGTGTTTATATTTTGAAATTTTCTTTTTCAACAACAACAAAAAATGAAATCATAGCTTGTGTGTAAGACCCTTTCTTCCCCCCCATTGTCAAACCCTCGCCCAGTGGTACCATTACAAGTTAACTTTGGTTTGATTCTGCAGGTATATAACAGAGTTTGTAAACCTAGGCAATGTTTCAGCTCTACGCACTTTCAGGGTACTGAGGGCTTTGAAAACTATTTCGGTAATCCCAGGTAAGATGGCCCGGGGTTGGTGTTAGGTGTGGGGTTAGGGCCCTGACGTGACGTATTGTACTTTTTGTTTTGTTGTGGTTTTGTTTTTTTCCTTCGGTGTTTTGTGTTCGTGTCTGTGTTTGTCATTTGTGTCCGTGTGTGACCTCCCTTACTACAGATATGTGACAGAGTTTGTGGACCTGGGCAATGTCTCAGCGCTGAGAACATTCAGGGTTCTGCGAGCTTTGAAAACTATCTCTGTAATTCCAGGTGAGAAAATTTACACACAAGACTGACTGCCTCATCTCCTCTTTCCCCTCCATTCATTTGTCCACCACATTCTAAAGCTGGCGTCAGCACAATTGGTATGGCCTTGCACTCCGCATGTTTCTCCTGGGAGACGTTCTCTGGGATGGCCCTTTGGTCGTAAGGCAGTTTCAGTGATGACGCTTTGCCAGGCATGCAGCCCCCATTCCATGCTTTGAAAAAGCACGTGCTTCGACATCATTTGGATCTTACAATATGTGAAAAAATTGTCACAGAGCTAGCTGTCTCTTTGAACATAAATCATGTGCTTCCTGGCCTCATGGAATTACAGTAATTTAACATTCACTGTCATCCCATTGCTTGTGATTTCTAGGCTTCCTGTCGCATGGTTTGCTGATGGGATGTTCTTCAATGAACTATACTTTTACTGTCACTGTGTTAATGGAATTATTTAACCCCAGAAGAGACTTACCCGTTGACTAGTCCAGTATTATAGCCAAATTAAAGAGCCTTGGAGTTAGGGAACTGAACTTTAATAATCACTGTCTATCACATTCTGTCGCTGTCTGTTTCACTGGAGTAAGAACCAGTGAATATATATATATATATTCAGAGACCATTTTCAAACACAGATCCCCATGAATGCTTGTGCAGATGCTGTTAAAAACAATCCAAGGTAAGATAAGATACATACATCTGAATGTCTGGGCAAACAAAAAGGACAGAAACTTGAGAAGAAAAAAAAAGGAATCAGTGGGTGGTTGAGAGGTAGTTAATCGACAGTCTTTTTATAATTTTTGCCTTTTTCTTTTTGGTGCTGTTTGCGCTGGCCCAGTGGTTCTTAACCTTTAGAAGGGTTTGGATCCTTTTGAGAATCAGGGGAAAGTTTGCAGGCCCCTCTGAAACCCATCTGTGGACCCCAAGCTAAGGTCCTTCATTTAATATAAATCCTTATTACCGAGTAGCACTTAACTGTTTTTTCTAAAGACTGGTTTTGCCTGGAAGGAAAGATATTTTAGTTAGTCTTGCAAGCCTGCGATATACTGGCAGTAACACGGCAGAAATCAAGACTGAATGGTTGCTGATTGGACTTTGGTTGTGTTCAGGGGTTTTCAGGGAAGATTCCCAAGAGACCAAGCTTTTTAGTGCAGCTTTGTAGGAACAGGGACGTGAAGAACAGAGGCGTCCCATTCCTGATGTCCCATGGCTTTTCTTGTGGCTGACTCAGAAATATTCCTGTCTTCCCCTTTTCAACTTTATCTAAAATATCAGACACAGAGAGAGGGAAGCACAAAGGTAGAATCCTGGAGAAGGCTGACTTGGAATGTGGCCTTCTGAGAACCTCAAGGAAGGTAAACCTCAGTTTCCCCATTTACAAACTTGGGCCATGAAGTGGGCCGGTAAATTCGGGCCCTACTAAAAATGAATACCTTTGTATTTAGCAATGGGAGCTTTCTCCTTATCAACTAGAGGCTGGGTGTCCATGAGAGTATATTCTTCGTGGCAAAAAACCACAACCCCGACTTAGTCAAGGTTCGGTTCCTAGCCTGCGACAGAAAGCGCAGTTCATTCTGTGGGCAGCCTCATGAAGCTCATTGATGGTGGTTTAACCCTTCGGCAGGCCTTGTCTTATTTTTTAAGGCATCTGGAGCACCAAATCTTTACTTTCATTTTTCCTTTGCTCTCTTTCGTCTCTGGCCTCTTTTAAATATGATCCCATGTTTTCTGCTCACTTCCCCCAACGTACTCTGCAAGGCATCTGTCTCTTTATGTTCTTGTGATCTCAAAACTTCTCTTCCAGAATTAAATTGGAAAGCTGCATTCTGTTCACTAACTAGGGCAGCAGATGCTATCTCTGGTCTAGCTCTTAGCTTCTGTCTCTGCTGTATGGGTAGCTTCTGACCACAGCATTTCTGCAAGATAACTCTTGACTGGCCTCACATTATTTATCCTCACTATTAATCAGTCTATCTATAAAATATATTTATAAGCACATTTCTATAGTGTTTATAAGTACTGGTAGGGCTCCATAAATGATTTTGTGTAACGATTATTATTTAAAGAAGAAACCTAAACTCAAAGAAAGGGCTTGTGTCAGCGTTTAGACCTCAGCTTGATGGTTTGAAATAGATTCCCAATTCCTGTTTCTAGAAGCACCGCCACTCAAGCTGGCTTTGTGAAGTTAACTGGGATGGAGAAGAACTTTAAGGGATAATAAAGCCAGTAATAGGTCTCTGTCAGTGAGTGGTATAACTGATACTTGAATTAAAGTGTGACTTTTTATCCCAAATCCTTTCGTTCCCTATACTACTTATCGAGGGCTATTGTCCTGTTCCTACCTGCCTGTTACCCAGGTCTCCTTTCAAGGTGGGAATACCATTGTATGAGTTAGTAGACCTGACACCATTTCTTGACTGGAAATCTCAGTCATTTTTTACTCTATTGTAGAGCCAGGCCTCAGTTCCCTCTTTGTGAAAGCCATCGTCCTGCACACCAAGTCTTCTCCGGGATCACTTCAGTGGGACTGCTGATATTTTTGCCTGTTCCTGTTCCCAGTTTGACTGTAGGCTTTTGCTGAAGCTGCCAGAAACAGCAGCAAGAGCACCACAGAACTGACGTGGGGTCTGCAAGATCCCCCAAAGCCCCTGGCTCCCTTCACGAGAGTTTTCCTGGAGAACTCACCCACTCCCCTGGGCTGCCACTGCCTTCCCTCTTAGCACCTTTGGTAGATATTCTGACTGCGTCAGAGCAGTCAGGACTCCCAGGAGATGGGGCAGTGCACTGCCTCAGTTAGCTCCAGCCTTTTGGATAAGAGGTGCTTTGATTTAGAGCCTTTTCGTGGCTTAGAAAACACCAAACCCACATTCTCACCCTTTTTATTTGCTGACTCAAGATCTAGACATGCATCACACATGGTTCGCCTTTTGCTTCAGAGAGCTTGGCTTCAAGAACAGTGCTTGCAAACTGCATGCTGGAACGGTCAGTTACAGGAAGAGATCCTTCCTTTCTACATTTCCTTTGGTCTGGAATTTGCCACATTCAACTTGACATTGAAGTATACTATGTAGAAATTTACGTCTTAAAACTTTGTTTTTGCTCTATATTCATTTGGGGCCCAGGCGGAAGAATGAGCTTCTGAGTGACTTTGCCAGAAGTTTCATCTTCTCCGTTCTTTGACCGTGTGCCACAGGACTGACCTGCCCAAAGACAGGGTGGCCATCTCAAAGCAGGCGTCTGAGGTTTTGCCTACAGAGTAGCATTTAATGGTGTAAATAAAATGGGTCGGGATGGCCTTATTTACCAGTTGCTTCTCATTTCTAGCATCATTTCAGTGACTCCTGAAAAGCACTGCGTCCCTATTTGCCCACGCTGGTTTAATATCGTTTTGCTTTCTTTAGAGTTGTAATTTCTTGATTACTTTTCTCTTTGATTTTTCATTTCTGTGCTTTCGTTTCTGTTACTCTCTCTCCTTACCCGTGGTATCAGAGAAGAAGTAGGAAAAATGATGGGCCCTTTTACCTCCCACCCCAGTATTCACAAAGAAACCATTTTCTTTAAGTGTGTGCACTATGAGTATGGCAATTTTCTGCTGCACAGTGAAGGGGGAAAGTGTTCTCAGACTATATTTAGCCTCATTGTTTCCTTTACAGTATTCTAGTTATTAATCCAGTTGCTTTTATGTTTCTCCTTTTCCCACATTGCTTCTCAGAAAAAATAACCGAAGTGTAACGTAGTGGCCCTAAGTGGGGAAACACTGAAGTCTCATAGGATCCCACCGATCCACCTTTGGGAGCTAGTTTAAGTTTTGTTGAGACCTTGTGATATAAATCTGGTGTTGAATAAATAAATCTACTGCCTCTGAATCTCTCCCAATTTATTCCCGATCTACAGAACCTTCAATAATATCATTGTAAGGCTTGAACCTGCGGCAAGAAAACTGACCTGGCACAAATTTACCCTAGGACTTGTCTGGACCAAGCCAGACTTCAGGAATTGGGGAAACTTACTTCCCGTGGAGTGAGAACTCCTCGTTACCCCTCTAGAGACCCGTGCCGGTGTGAATTTTGTAGAATTAGTTCGCGTTGCTTCAAACCAGATAGATTTTTCAACCTGAGCCACAAACCAGGAAATAGAAATTTACTTTATTTACAATCTGGCATCACCATGGTGGAAGATTTTGATCCCAGCATGCATGGCTGATTTCTCTGGGCTTGGCACGTAAGCAGGCTTTGTTCACTTGTTCAGGAGATGGCTGGACGTCATGAAAGGTGACAGGAGGTTCAGCGGTGCCTTTGGACATAGAGGCTTCAGCTTCTCCTCAAAATTCTTTAAATGGCCCAAATTCCTCTCTGATAGCTGACATTTCTGTACATTGGGTCCAGCTGTCTTTTCCTGATTTACAGTAAATGTATTAACTGCTTCTGCTCAAACACATCCCAGTGCTAGTTAATGTTAGCCTTTTCCAAGAGTTCTCGCTGTCCAATTTGCCCCCACGTGGCTTCTGTTGTGCACTCTGCTGTGTGGGAGTTGTTTGAAGGAGCATTCTGCTCTGTTTTGGATAATCAGTTTTCAGTCAGTATCTTGCTTGTTCTGGTATGTGGTGTTGTGAGCCAGTAGAAGAAGCAAAGCAACTTCTCCTCACAGCCAGCACAGTGGCATTTTCCATTCTTACGTGCATCAGGTTAGAAATTCCACCAGCAGCTTCTTACTTCAGTGACCTGCATTGGTGATAGCAGGACGCATTTTTGCCTCACTGCATTTACTAGAGCATATCAGTCACTGCTGGCAAGACTGTAGAGCTTGAGTTCAAGGAATGCATTCTGCGAAAGACTATCAGGTACATGAAAAGACGCTCAATATCACTAATCATTAGGGAAATGCAAGTTAGAACCATAATGAGATATCACCTCACACAGATTAGAATGGCCATCGTCAAAGAGACAAGAGTTAGCAAACACTGGGCATGGATATGGAAAAAAGGGAACCCTTGCACATTGTTGGGA